ATAAGTCTGTGCAACACACATCTACATAGTCTATTATCGGCAGATTAAGAGATTCAAGATTCTTAAGTATGGGTTTGCATTGTGGTTGTATGAAATAAACAGCAAAGTGGAGATAACTAAGTTAAATAAATATCTAGAGCTACCTAAAATGATCGCTTGACTTTTAGAAGGATTCATGTTAATTCCAAGCACAGTGGACCATTCAAAGATGTAATGTAAATCTTCATTTTGTAACGCTATTGAATTATTAATATTGGATGGTTCCAATTGTGCATATAGTTGTAGATCATCGGCATACAGATGATAAGAGCACTTGAGGTTTAATGTGCTAAGATTGATAAAAATTGAAAACAGATGAGGTGAGAGAATACCGCCTTGAGGGACACAGGTTAATACTTCACTCCAAATGGAGACGTTATAGCCAGAACGCACAGCCTGTTGGCGCCCTTGAAGTTATGATGAAAACCAATCCTGGGCTGTAGACGAGATCTCGAATATCTTCAGTGACCTTGAAAAGGGCGGTTGTAGTGCTCTGCCCAGGGTGAAATCCAGACTGATATGATGAAATAATCTTGTTTTTGAATAAAATAGTAGACATTTGTTTATGAGCAACAGCTTCTAAAACTTTAGATAAAAATGACAGGATAGAAATTCTAAAAAGAGAAATAAGGCTGCACTTGGTGGATTTTGTAAGAGGATTGACAAAGGCTTTTTGCCAGTGTTGGGATAGCACCATACTTCAACGAATACTTAATGATATGAGTTAACACGGACAAGACAGAATCAATTAATTACTATATAACCATTGTTCTACTCACATTATCACAACCAACAGCTATAGATTTGATAGACAGGAGTGTTTTGCGTATCTAGTCTTCATTAACAGGAGAAAAAGAGAGTCATGAAAATAAGGAGGCATGGAAGATATTGATGAAATAGCATTTGCTCTAGCACTATTAGAAATAGTTTGAACAGACAAAAAATTACCGTTGTAATCATCTGGAGACAGAAAGACTAGGCGCAAAGTGCGTTTTCCCAAATCCAAGAGTATTAAGAAACTTCCATATATATAGCTAAAGAAAAATAAAGCACTTGTTCATGGATATAACAGCATTTAGCAGCTCCCACTATCTGATTGCATCGATTTCTCTTTTGCTTCCTCTTAAAGGCATGGAATGTTCTGTCACGCATTGCCATGGTCATTCTTACCCCTGCTGTTATCCATGGAACTGGAGATCACTTAAGTCTGGCAACACGCTTGGGATCATATTTATCAAAGAGTTTTAGCATATTGCCATTTAGGATATTGACTTACACAGAAGACCAGTCAATTTCATCAGCATCGTGCTTAAACTTTTCAACATCCCGTCTAGCAAAACTACGAATAGACAGACATTGATGTAGGCCTAGGAGACTAATTTGAATGAAAGAAAGAGCAAATAATGCCGCAAAAACCCAGAAGCAGAAAATTTGCCATAGTTGGCAACACGCTCAACAGAAGAGACGGAATATGGTTGATTCATAAATCTGTAGAGTGTAGAGAAGTATTATAATGTGCAGTATTTAAAGGCAGGATAGTGAGATTATGCAACACCATGATCAACTTCAGTTTGTTTGATTTGAGAGAAGCTACTAAGAGGTTGATGTTAGTCTCCCATCACAATATGATGTGTAAGCAGAAAAGGGTGGTGACAAATTTTCTTCCAAAACGGAGAAGTAGTCCACTTGGGGTGGACAGTAGATGATTCCAAAGAACACTTCAACACTCTTGACATTAACTTCAACAAAGATGTATTCCACTGAACTAGAATAAAAAGATGGAGAAGTAACTAAAATTTTAAAAGGTAATTCGTTATGTAAATAAACAGCAACACCCCCGCCTCTTATGCCGGTACGATCATTATGGATTAAAATAAATCCCGGGAGACTGTACGACGTAGAAGTTCTGGTTTTAACCCAACTTTCAGATACGAGAATAACGTAACATGTTAAATATATAAACTTACCAAATATTTTGAGTATTATTAAATAAAAACACAATTTGACCGTGTCAACTACAAATGAATAAAGTATCTTACCTGCGTCGGCGATCATAACGACTTCTGTATGGAGACGACGGGCGTCCATATCGCGCCATTTGCACACGAAGTTCCCTGCCATCCAACATGCGTCCATCTAAAGAATCCAGAGCTTCTTCTGCATCTCGTCTGTCAAAGAACCTAAAAATAACCACAATTAGAACCATGTGTCGAAAATTTAAAAATGAAATTATCGTGACGATAAATTTTACTTTTATATTTTATTTAAAGTATTTTACCTCACGAAAGCAAATCCTCTGCTTTCTCGTGTGTAACGATCTCTGGGAATATATATATCACCAACGTCGCCACACCTCTCGAAAACTCTACGTAGATCTTCCGGGGTCGTACGATATGTTAAATTATCTACCTTTAATGACACCATGCCATCTATACGTGGTGGAGGTCTACCGTAACTCATTTTGATGAACTTGATGTGAATTGAATTCTTAAATGTACTATATTTTGTCAAAAAAGGTTAACCGAATAACGCAATTAATGGCGGGCAAGATGGCGTCACCTAAAAATTCCACAATGCTCTCTCACAAAGTCACAAATCACAAAGCGTCAGCGTCCGCGTCCTAGCGTTGAAAATCATAGACATAGACTAATATTTTAAGCAAAGAGTCACAAAGAGTACAGAAAATTTTATGCAAAGAGTATAGTAACTGTCCTATACAGGATTTTATGTCTTCTTTACACTACTCGCGATGTTACCTCGATGAAGTGCTCTTCTTCTTAATAACTGGCTTTACGGCTCTGGGATCTAGCCCTTCTGAGCCTGAAGTTACAATATATTATAATAATTATTCTTCATAGTATACTGCTTCACAATATGTTGATGCGTCACATTGTGCCACCCTTGGCAGATTTTGACGGTAACTTGAGCCAGCAGACAGCTGACGGTTGGCGATGGTATCTCAAGGCGCCTAAGCAGACAGACACATTTTTTTTTGAGAATCATATCACCATCAGAGCACTTGTTTCACAGTTTCCACTAATAGTTCATATGCGCAGACACTTAATACACAAAATCGCACCACTTTTACATATCAAAGTCCACTTCAAACCATTATTTAAACAATAATACAGGTGCAGCAAACCGCCGCCGGTCAAGTTCCCGCCAAAACTCTGAAGTGCTCAATGCTCATCAAACACAGACTTAACTAGTACAAATAATGCGAAGAAAAATGCAAAGATTGAGCGGAAATAAAGCAACGTACCCAAACGGAAATTTATCACTACACTCAGGTCGGGCACATACATACGGAATTCCGTTTCGGAATTTCGGTCGTGCGACGAACACTGAGCGCGTTCCGTACGGAATTTACGTATGTGTGTTGCGACTCGTACAAAATCTATGGAAGAGTTGCGTTCGGAGCGGTTTTTTTCTGTTCGGGATCCCGAACGCACAGGCGGTCAAACGGAATCTCGAATCGGAGAAAATTCCGGACGGAAAAATACCATACGTGTGTGACGGGTCATAGATTTTATATGGATTTGCTGCGTTCGGGATTCCGAATCGGAATATCGAAACGGAATTCCGTTTCATGATTCCCTTTCGGAATCCCGAATCGAGATTTCGTGAATAAATCACACACATACGTTTATTTCCGTTTGGAATAACAAGGGTCAGTTGAGAGATATTAGCCACTGAGTCTAGACATTCTGCTAGCGAATAACGACGATTGTTGCTGTATCATTGTTACTGGGTGCATCCCCTTATCACCCTAAGCTTGCAATATAGTCAATATTATGTAAAATGATCTATCTATCCAGAGATATTTTTAAATAATTATGTATGAAAATTATTTCGACGAATTATTAAATAAAATAAGATGAAAGGTTACGAAAAGCTATACAACTACAAGATTAAATGTAAAAACATACATAAATACACCTACTCTCTACGGTCGTGCGACGAACACTGAGCGCGTTCCGTAAGGAATTTACGTATGTGTGTTGCGACTCGTACAAAATCTATGGAAGACTTGCGTTCGGAGCGGCTTTTTTCCGTTCGGGATTCCGAATGCTCAGGCGGTCGTACGGAATTTTGAATCATAGAAAATTCAGTACGGAAAAATACCGTACGTGTGTGACGGGTTATAGATTTTATATGGATTTGCTGCGTTCGGGATTCCGAATCAGAATATCGAAACGGAATTCGGTATGTATGTGGCCGTTTTAAATGTAAAAACGTACATAAACACACCTACCCACTTCGGTCGTGCGACGAACATTGAGCGCGTTCCGTACGGAATCTACGTATGTGTGTTGCAATTCGTACAAAATCTATGAAAGACTTGCGTTCGGAGCGGCTTTTTTCCGATCGGGATTCCGAACGCACAGGCGGTCATACGGAATCTGGAATCGGAGAAAAAGTACGGAAAAGTACCGTTCGTGTGTGGCGAGTCCTTGTTTTTATATGGACTTGCCGGCCTTAGAAACACAATGAATGAATCAGTGACTAAACAAAACATAGACTTTAGTATCATATCAATCCTCTATCTACGAAACAAAATGAAAACAAACAATATGGCTGCGACGACTTGCAATTGAGCCTAGAAGGGATTTTGAGAGGCGAGGAGGCTGTTAGCTGTCACATATCATTTTGCTATGACGTTTCCTATGTCCACTATTTTTCTAGGAAGATTACTGCCGGTGGTTAAACTGCACAGGTAAAGCCTAACGTGTATGGCTACCTTTATACGAAAATGTACTCCAAAGAGAAAATAATCACTACGTTTAATGTACTCCTGTCATTCGTTGCCATGGTTATGTTTTTGTTGCCGCGGAGTTTATTTTGGTTTAAATATTGATCAACATCTATGACGTAGTTATTTGATTTAAGTTTGCAGAGTAAAGCTCCAGCGTTTGAATGAAATAATCAAGTAAATTGCGTGTAAAATAACTTTTAACAGTATGTCCGGAGTTAAGCACGTTAGAAATAAAAATTTACTGCCAGATTTGAGAAAAGAAGGACGATTCTCTAAAGAAATAGTGTTGTCGACGTCAGAAAAACACGGAGTACCCACAGGATCTAGGCTTTTTTCACATCACACATTAGCTAGTGTTAGAAAATTGAGCTTTTATCATCCGCTATAGTAAGTGGTAATTTCTACCACACTGAGATTTTGATTTGGTTTTACTTTTTAAAAATAAAACTTAATCCATATTCCATACTCTGGTACTTCTGTAGGTATTGGGAAGATATTTTAAATTAAATTACACATAAACAAACATCTAGACCTAAATAATATTCGCAATTAATAATAATAATTCTTCCGTACGTCTGCCTGGTCATCTAGTAGTATTATATGTTATTTAAAATATGTCCATGTCCATTGTAACTATTTGTTTATAAGCAGCCTGTAAAACTCCATTGTTGGACATTGGCCTCCTCCGTTGTGAATCGCCTAATCGCCACGGTTGGCAGCCGTATTGGCGGTTGTGGTGCCAGACGTGGTCGTATTCTAACGCTGCCCCCTTTCTACATCTAAATATTTAACCTGTTTAACTTGTTGTATTAAAGTATTTAGCCTGAACGTGATGTTTATATATAGTCGCCAATTTCGACACCAACTGGACGATATTGGGTAATGGAATCTACATAAAACGTGAGTAATCTACTGCTGGAACAAAAATTTAAATTTTACACTTTAAAAAAAATTAAACCTAACGTACTCTTTAAAGTCAGTGCTGTAGTCAGTGTATCGACGAATTAAAACTTTTTTTATTTTATTTTTTAACCCTTAAAATTGGACTAACGAATTTTACAAGGTGTAGATAGATAACAATTAGAATTTCGTCTAAATAGTGATGTTGAAACTTCATGTTCTATTTTTTATATTATTGTAGATTTTTTCTTCAAATTTAAATTTTACACTTGAGGTACCTATAATCTATTTACTTAAAGATATCGCGTAACAAACATTCAAAATAACAGTCGAATTGAGAACCTCCTTCTTTTTTGAAGTCGGCTAGAAATGTGATACATTTGCCGGAGAGTTGTACAATCAGAGCAGTGCAGTGATCACAGAACCATCCAAGTACCACAGACGCTATTTCCGTGATCAATCTATGTATTGCAGGCTTTATAATTTTGGTGATGATCATCCTACTAGTCCTACTTCCTACTAATATAATATTATAAACGTTAAAGTTTGTGAGGATGTATGGATGTTTGTTACTCTTTCACGCAAAAACTACTAAATGGATTTTAATGAAACTTCACAATTATATAGCTCATACATCAGAATAACACATATGCTATATAATTCATAAAGATATTGTGTAAATTGGCCAAAATATAACGATAAATCTTAAGTAAGTCGGAATAAATCTGAGGAGCTATTTTGGCGTGCGGTGTAAAAACTGTAAGAGTTACACGAATATAATGGATGGTGGTATTGTTTTCCTAAATAGTTCTACAAAAAAAAGTTCGCGACAGTATATAACTATATTTTATGTGTAAGCCATTATTACCAAAATAGTGAACCATAAATACTGAAAAACTGTCTGAACACGCATCACGCAAAAACCTGTGAACTGATTTGGATGGGACTTTCACTGGCGGATAGCTGATCTTGTAAGGAGTAACTTGGGCTACTTTTATTTTAGGGTTCCGCGTAAAATAATTCCACGCGGGGGAAGTCACGGGGAACAGCTTGTGATTTATATTACAAACCAGTTATGTTTAGTGTATTTCATATAAAATGATTCGTCAACCACGCTAAATATAAAATAATAAACTCTTCTTATGATATTAGAACTTATAGCTTATATGTTATATACTGTGACCATATTTGATGTTAAAGAAATTTATTTCCCAAAAGAGTATACCCTTATTGAGAAACATAAAAGAAAATAAAAGTAACGTGCTTTGAGTGGGCATAACATATCTGTGGACTTACGATATATTGAATATAAAATCATTGAATATAAATCATATTCATATTGAATATAAAATCTTGCACAAAATATAAAAAAGACAGAGGATAATTTAAGAATATTTCATAGGCGCTTACTATTAAAAATACAAGCAAGTAACAAAGCGCAGTCAAACTCCCAGTACAATAATCCGTTAGGTCACGTAAAATTTTGTTATTGCTCGTAAAAATTTTTGTATTAGTAGTTAGGTATAATGTGATAAGATACTTTAATTATGTAGTAAAATGAGTATGTATTTATTTTAGTGAAAATATATATTTCAATATTTTGTAACGTTAATTTTTTGTTAGTTTTGTGTAAGTTGTATTAATATTGTGTACATTTAACTATATTTTGTGCTACTATGGGACCTAATATTGTTGTAGTTTAGTGTGAATATATATTCTTATTTACAAATAGTCCTCTGTGCCATTATGTAAATTCTATATATTTTAATAAATTTTCTTTTTGATGTAAAATTTTATAATTAAATGTAGTAATGTAGATTCTTTTATGTTTTTTGGCAGTTTGTTATAAAGTTTTACACCCTCATACAATATGTTTATTTTACCGCAATTGGTACATGGAACGTACAAGCTAATATCATTTGCATTTCTAAGCATACGATCATGCAATTGTCGTTTTTTGGTGAATGTTATTTGGCTGCATACATTTTTGTGTAATATTTTACGTATAAGCAAGCAATGTATATATACGTAGGTTTATTATGTCTGACTAATGTTCATAATTTTAGTTTCATCATATAATTTTTTTTGGGTGTTATGAAATCATAATTAAATAATACTTTTACTAATTTGTTTTACGCAAATTAAAGGGTTTAGCTTTCGTTGCTGAGCCCCATACTTCAATCAGATAATCTATGTGTGGCTTTACCATGTTTAGTCCTGTCAGCTAAGTTTCCATTTATTTTTATTGGTCATTATAGATAAAGTTATAAGTATTATGCCATGATTGAAATAATTTTCCAATAAAATAGGCGTATTTAGCATACAACAAACCAAAATCCATATATTAAAAAAATCTCATTACTAATAAAAATAACCATATTATATATCCATCACAACACAAAAATCTGTCGTTTTCTGTCCGTAGCATTCCAGACGATAGCTTAGACATCGTGTTGGCTGCGACGTACAACCATTCTACGGAACATTTTGCTGACAAAGAGGATTTGTATCTGCAGCGAGAAACACTCGGTTGCGACACTTGGAGACGACTCAGGAACACGTTCGACAAGCAACCGCCTGTCGTTATACCATTAGTAAGTACACTGAAATACTTGAGTTTGTATTATTATATTTGTATACTCGTATAAATAGTATTTGTATGCCTGTATAATCTAAAGACATATTTTTTTCCGTTACGATTGCATTTTTTAAAATAAAATACTAGTAATACTATTAAACATTACTAATATTCCCTTTAACCACTTCTGGTAAGCTTAAAATGCTTGTGTTAGAAGTGGTTCACGCCAGACAGTCGAATGGCGGATTCGAACGCACGACCTTTCGAGTTCGCGGTCCGCGCCCTGCCATTAGGCTACTAGTATTCAACGAAGTCCATGTAATTTTTCATAAACGAGATGAGGTGGTCCAAGAGCCAACACACCTTAACCTACTGTCGCCGATCATTCTTAATAGGTGCTTTGACACAATACCATACTTTAGTACAAATTATTCGACTCCCCAGAGTCACTAATTCATTTTGGAGTTTGGAGGTGTTGTATATATGCTTTTACAACAAAATCCCAGAAAATATACAAAATCTGACTTCCGCTAAGTATATATATATATATATATATATATATATATATATATATATATATATAATTTGTGATAAAGGAGTTACCCCTCTATCCTTAGCCAACGAGCAATGGTAAGACCCGGCAGTACAGAGCATTTCCGACCGGAAGACCGTAGGGAAGGAGAAGGAGCTCCACGGGAGGTTCTACAAGGCTCTACATGAGGTTTTGGTGACCTCTTCGGGGAAACTGAGGGTTTTGTCTGTGCAATACAGGATCAGGTTATTAAGACCAACAACTATCGGAGATACATCCTAAGGGATGGCACCGTCGACATTGCTTGGGCTCCTCTGGGCTCTTCGGACCATTTTCTGATCCGGAGTACGGTGCCACTCACGTTCTCATCGCAGTTGCGATCTGCAGCTTGCCGCCGTGTTTGGCACTATAGGTCGGCCGATTGGGACGGGATGCGGTCTTTTTTTGCATCCTACCCTTGGGGGCGGGTTTGCTTCTCGCCGGAAGATCTCAGCGTTGTTGCCGATTCTGGTACTGATGTGGTACTTCAGGGTATGGAACTTTTTTTTCCATCCTCTGTGGTGCCCATGGGAGGCAGATCCCAGCCATGGTTTGGTCGCTCCTGTAAAATAGCATCACGCCATAAGCAGGAGTGCTACCAGGCCTGGGCTGACGCATCCACGTCCCGGGATGTAAACACCAGCGCTCTTAAAAAGAAGTATAATTCCGTCTCCACGTCCTTCAAAAGTGTCATTGCTAAGGCAAAGTCAGAGCACATCGGCAGAATTGGCGAGAAACTAGTTCGCCTCTCTTCGGGAACACGTGCATTCTGGCCTCTCGCCAAGGCTGCCCAAGGGAACTTCTGTCAGCCATCTCTGCCATCTCTGCACAGGGTGGACGAATCACTGGCCCATGACCCAAAGGAGAAAGTCGATCTGCTAGGCTCTTTTTGCTTCCAACTCGACTCTAGATGACGAGGGGAACACACCGCCGACCATCCCGCGGTGTGAGTGCTCCATGCGGGAAGTGCTGTTTGCACAGCGCTTGGTGCGTAAAGTACTCCTCTCCCTGGACGTCAACAAGTCGAGTGGGCCTGATGGAGTCCCACCTATTGTGCTGAAGACGTGTGCTCCGGAGTTGGCACCGGTTTTAACGCGTCTTTTTCGGTACTCCTACTCCCTAGGCGTAGTCCCGAAATCATGGAAGACAGCTTTGGTGCACCCGATCCCTAAAAAAGGCGACCGCTCAGATCCGTCCAACTACAGGTCTATCGCTAACACCTCCTTGTTCTCCAAAGTAATGGAAACCAATATTAACAGTCAGCTCATGCGGTACCTTGAGGATCACCAGCTGATTAGTGACTGCCAGTACGGTTTCCGTCGAGGTCGCTCAGCTGGTGATCTTCTAGGTTACCTAACTCATAGATGGACGGAGGCAGTGGAGTCCAAGGGGGAGGCGTTGGCCGTTAGCTTGGACATAGCGAAGGCTTTCGATCGGGTTTGGCACAAAGCGTTTCTTTCGAAGCTGCCTTCCTATGGGCTTCCCTAGAAATTGTGCAATTTGATCACCAGTTTTCTTGCAGATCCGAGCATGAAGTTCGTAGTAGACGGTGCATGCTCCGATTATAAGCCCATTAACGCTGGTGTTCCACAAGGCTGCGTAATATCACCAACGCTGTTTCTTCTGTATATCAATGATATGTTGCAAACCAGTAACATTCATTGCTATGCAAATGACAGCACTGGTGATACTCTATACACCGGCCGTGCCAATATTTCTCGGGAAAACGTCGCGGAGTACCGGAACAAACTTGTGTCTGAAGTCGAGACTTTGTTGAATAAAGTCTCAGACTGGGGGCGACTAAATCTAGTCCAGTTCAATCCCCCGAAGACACAAGTTTGCGCGTTTATCGCTAAAAATAATCCCTTTGTCGTATCTCCTCAGTTTCAAGGCACTCCCCTTGTTGCCTCAGCCAGTATCGGTATCCTCGGTGTTGACATATCGATTGACGTGCAGTTTCGTGGTCACTTGGAAGAGAAGGCCAAACTGGCCTCTAAAAAGCTTGACGTGCTCAGCAGAGCGGGACAGTATATCACGCGGGCACACCGCTTGCAACTTTACAAGTATAGTCATGTATAGAATTATACTTATTTTTATCTGATGTTACAATTATTCATATGTCATCTGCAAACAAGATACATTTATGACCAGTCACTCCGGTTATGTCATTTATGTATAGTATAAACATAATTGGACCTCGCACACATCCTTGAGGAATACCACACGTGTTATTTTTTAGGGTAGAAGGACATGTTATCAGTTCGCTATTTATGATTTTGTTAACAGTGACGCACACCACAAAGAGTGGTTGTTCCCATACGAGAAAACCGACCATGCTGGGAGAGAGGCGAGCAAACTCGCGTTATCGCTAGATCTCACTGAGCTGGTTCAAGTAGCAGCGCCGGTACCAGATTTAGCCGGACATACACCCAATTGCTTGGACTTCCTGCTGACAATAGACCCAGACAGGCACTCGATATCTGTCTCAGCTCCGCTGGGATCATCCGATCACTGTCTGATGAAGTCCGTATCTATCCTCGCTCCTCCGGATGTCTATCCATCGGGCACGAGGAGAGTATGGCGATACAAGTCAGCAGACTAAGTTTATCTGATGGCTCAGCAAATTATCAACTTGCCGCACTCGACTCAGTGCAATGCAGAGTGAGAGAGAGGCTTATCGGCGACAAAAAGCTGGTGGAAACTAAGCTTCACAGCTTAACTCACCGCCGCCAAGTTGCTTGTTTGTCGGTCTTCTACATGTTGTACGTCGGAGAGTATGCCCATGACCTTCATAAGCTCATACCACCGTCTCCATTCTCACATCAGAATACCAGACGTACTGCAGGTTACCATCTACACTTGGTTGATATTCCGAATATTCGCACTATGCGCTATAAGTCATCTTTCATAATGCGGGCAGCTAAGGAGTGGAATGCCCTGCCGGCGTCTGTTTTTCCGAGTGCATTTAACCTTAAGCTCTTCATGGTGCGTGTTAACAGGCTTCTCCTGGGCAAACTCGCTCCATCGTAGACCTAATCTTTGCTCTCGGGCCAGATGGAAGTCAAGAGTGAGTCTAGTTTAATAATAAAAAAAGTATTATAAATTGTTATCCTCTAAAATTTTTGCTAGGGATTGGAGTAGATAAGGACTAAGGTGAAATGCCTCGTTTCCAGTAAAAAGGGTCTCCGGTTACCTACACTCACTATACGAAACACAGCAGCATTAAGCTGCTATTTTACGCTGGTATTCTGTGAGAGCGTGGTCCTTCCCTGGTCGAGCCGACCCATTAGTGCTACAACCATAATATAGCTGCAGCGTGGTTCTACCACGTATAAAATAACTTGTTATTATAGTATACTATAAGTGGTTAGTCTGTTTTATTTTGTTAACGACTACGTTTATTTTTCCCTCAGGGTCATCCTATGAAACGTGGTGGTATCACAGAGAGGAAGTCTCCATTCAGTGTTAAACTGATGAACTCCGGCGTTCATTCCTCGCAGACCAACCCTGGTTATAGTCGACAACCGGCTGGAGGAGCTATTTTCTTCTATTAAAAATTGTCGTTAAAATATTTGTTCAGTGACTTGTAAGAGTTTTTAGTTTGCATTCATTATCTGGACTTTTTTGGTTTATTCTGAAACATTTGTGTTATTTCACTATGAACTGAGACCGAATGTGAAGCTTATGAGCTTTATTTTGCTTGCTATTAAAATTATGATATTATTCTCCCTTCTTAACAATGTACATATTATACATCTGTCTATCATGCAAGAGATGATTTCTTCAAATTGTTTTTTTTTGTAGTTAGAGAGAGAATTAAAGTAAAATATTTTCGGATAATTTATTTACTTTTTAACTATTTCATAGTTCCTGTAATTAACCACGACTAAGAGTCATGGGTCATTTCTTTCACACTTTTTAACAATAACTAAGATAGTAAATAAACAGTTAAGAAATTGAAGCCCAGACGCAGACGTAGTATTTATTTTTTCTGTGGATGAGCACAAGTATGAAATGTGACTGTTTGATGATGATGAATGTTTAATTTTTGGACCCTTTTGGGTGGAGTGTAGTAGGAATTTCTTAAATTCAAGGTAACAACTAAAAACCTAAAATTTCGTCTTGACAGTTATATAAAAAAAAATTGAGCCCATGTTTTTCTACTCTACGAAGTATCAACAAGAAAGAGCTATTTAATAAAATAGAAAACTTTTTTATAGGATAAGGGTGCGAAGCGAGCACATAGACAATATTTACATCTATCCTCGTTTGCGAATCAAAATGCAGATGCTTTATCAGCCGTAAGGACTAAGATAAAATTCATCTCTTCCATCAAAAGGGTCTCCGGTTCTCTACACTTATAATACGAAACACAGCAGCATTGAGCTGTTATTTTACGCTAGTATACTGTGAAAGCCTGGTATTACTTCGGTCGAGCCGACCTATTCGTGCTACAACTATACAGTTAATGTAACTGCAGCATGGTTCTACCGTGTTGTACCGCAAAATAGCAGTGCTTGCACTGCTTTTTGCGGTATATATAAATAAGAAGGTGGAAGATTCTAGAAAAGGAATCCTACCATCAAGTATCAGTTTGCATTTAATTATAATATAGTAATTTGTGTATAATATTTCAATGCTCGGCAGCAAAGGATTTGAGCTCTGGCCCAAAAGGTCACCGGAATTAGAGGTACCAACCCAACCCAACTGGCAAAAAGGCATATTATTCGGAATTAATGCAATTAATGATATATGAAGCTCAATATAAAATCGCGACATTCAGCTACGAGCAACATTTTCATTTTTTTTAAAGAACAAAACTATTCGATAGTTACTTGATCAACAGAATGCAGTGTGTAGAAGTGGAAAAACCTTGTAAATGCTGAGGTTTCAGTTCACTTTGGAGTCCCACAAGGCAACATCTTAGGCCCTAAGCTATTCCTCGGTTACATCAATGATCTGTGTCAATTAGATCTACCCATGACTAAAATTGCAACTGTTGCCGATGACACAGCATTACTCATCGGTGGGGAATCATGGGGAGGTTTTTCAAATGTGCTTTAATGTGGTAAAAAATTGGCTGAATGACCTTTTCCTTAAGAAATGAAGACTGAAATTAACCAGTATGAAATTATACCCCACACATGTTCGAATCACAATGACTCCAGTTGTTCGTGTTCTAGTCTAGAAAGGCCAAATACGGTTAAGTATTTGGGTATTATGATTCACGGTAGGTTGAGCTTCCAGGAACACATTATAACCTATTAGCATCAAGAATGCGCAAACCAATTTATATTTTTAAGAATCTACGACATGTTGCTGAGAGTTAATTACACCGGTTTACCTTGCTCTTGGTCAGTTACAACTTAGTTACTGTATTTCTGCCTGGAGTGGAACAACTAAAACTTTATTATTAAAAATTAAAAGAGCTGATTTTTCTACCGTTTTTTTACCCAACCATTGATGTTTATAACGAAAGTGAGGTCCTCACAATACGTCAGCTTTATATTCTGCACACTGTTACTATGCAACATTCCTTATTGACATGAACCAAAGCTAATTGAAAACCGTACAAAAACGGGGTTATTATGTTTATTCACCCTAAGAAATCCACCCTAGGATAGTCGGAAACGCGTGTTTGTTTATTACTAAAACCGATTATCTACCCCAGAGGGGGTGGATATTCGGAATTCGTATATTATTTTTCTTCCGATTTTCTCCTTCGGCTGTGTACAGTCGTTTATAAAATATGATAGAAACTGGCCTAAGATTACTTCGTAGACATTAGCATACAACTGTTCAATTACATATCATACGATGTGACATAATTTAGGAGTAAAAGTATTCTGTGAATATGATGGCCTCTCGGTAGAGAGAGTAATTGTGTTCTGTGATGATGTCTTTTCTGAATTACTATGAAAAGACTCTAGGACGAAAATTATATGGCTGTTTGGAATTCATTCGGAATGTCTCACAGAACTACAAATTCATTGGAATCTTGGCATAAAACAATATCAAATGAAATTAAAAACAAACATCCAAATTTAGTAAAGTTTTTGGATTGCCTGCAAAAACAGTTTTTTGCTAACACATCTGTTGTAACAAAATAAGTTTAGAAAACGATTGCAAATGTACATTACAAGAGAAGAATTTATACAGGATATACAATCACGTCTACTTAATAATGAAATTAACTTTGATCATTTCCTGGCCATATTGCAGAATAGTAGTGTAGTTGTACCACTTCTACACCACCTGAGTCAGACGTGGTTCAACGACGTTCGTCGACGCCCGATCCTAAAAAAAAAAAGAAAAAAAAAAAAAAAAAAAAAAAAAAAAAAAAAAAAAAAAGGTTTTGGCATGCTCTGATCACGAATCCGCGGTCCATTTTTGTGTAGAATGCACGGTTCCGGAGATGTGTAGATCAATTAGCTAATATCTAATTGATATCCGGTAAGGGCCTCCACCGTCATTAGCGTCCCATTGTTCCTATTTCTATTGTTCTATTGTTCCCTAATCACCTTCATTGCAGCGTGTGCGTCGACTATATCAGTGCTATTGTTTATTATAATTCTTTGTTTATACAACGCTAATCTGAATCATCAATAAAACACATTACATAATTTTGTTACAATTTTTATTTATAAAATACAAAATCTTATTAATTATTATCTATAAAATAGGAGCGAAACATCTCATCCACTAAAATATCGTTGTACAATGTGTTCCTTGTAAATATACTCGTAAAACTATGTATTGAACATCCCTGAAACTTATATAGCAAATACATTAAGCAATATTCGCCACAAACTGAAGTCCACTCATTCTAAATCCTATCAACATTCCAGTTCCATCTTTTACAATTCCTTTTTAAAAACTCTAGATGATATCGTACAGGTGATCGTCCATATGAATCAAAATATTGACCGACGTCATTCGTATCGATATATAAAGCTACCCAATGTGACCCTGGTTTATCATCTGTATCCAAATTACATATTATATACGTTGGTACGTGGGTATACATAGGCAGTCTATTAGCTGCATAAACATTATTTTCTAGACTGGGGTGAATCTTTTTCAGATGTTGTTGTACATCTAGTGTATCCATGATATTACTGCTATTAGTAGATTATTACAGTACCTAGCTACTCAATGAATAACATAGGAATGGTCAATTATAGTGATTTCTACATATTAAATTGCATTTTTGTGATATACAAATCGTACTTGAGTCATTGATCACCAAACAAAACACAATACGAAGAAATGTTGAGATAGGCAACGGAAATGTGAGATAAACTGATATGTTTCTAAATATTAAATTGCATTTTTGTGTTATACAAATCGTATTTGAGTCATTGATCACCAAACAAAACACAATACGAAGAAATGTTGAGATAGGCAACGGAAATGTGAGATAAACTGGTTGACGCATAAAGTAATTATCAACTCATTACGGAAATACTTTAGATTAGAATTTTTACGTACTGGTGGTATATAAGACCAACAAACGCAGTCATCGAGTTAGTGTACGGTCGTTTGGCTACAGTGGATCTATCAATAGTACATTTGTGTTACTTCAATACACCAAAGGCTATGGATGTAAGTGTTTATTCTATTGACTAAATTACTTTTTTTCTGTTATTTTCATGTGTGTGTATTATTTTATTTAAATATTGTGTATGTATATGATTAAGCCGTGGTAACTCAGATGGTTAGCGCTAGCTGTAAATTTCACAGTACGCGACCCGGGTTCGATCCCCGCCAGCACCAATTAAATTGTTAATAGCAATTTTAAGTGCTTATTACCACGTGCTTGGTGGTGAAGGAAAACATCGTGAGGAAACCTGCATGTCTGAGAAAATTTCGAAGGCATGTGAAGTTCGCCAACACACATTGAGGGAGCGCGGCGGACATTTCCTTACTCTAAAACCCTCTCAGAAATGAGAGGAGGCCTATGTTCAGCAGTGGACTTTAATAGGCTGTAACTTTAACTTTTTTAACTTTTATGATTAAGTGTTAACAAATTGATATTAACATGATAACTGTGTTGTTGCAGAAATCATTGAGCTTCGATGAAGATACCTATAAACAGTATTACTACTCGCCACTCTCCCCTCAAGAAGAGAGTGATAACCTCGTCATTAATAATAACACATGCGATGGTGGAAAAAGAAAATCGCAATCGATTGATCATTTTTTTGAAGCTGAATCAAAAATAAAAAAGAGGAAGGGAAAACTTCAGTGAAGTGTGCACCAGTGCTTTTTTCTCCACAATCATGGAAGAGAATACGGAACTATTCAATAGCGAATTAAATCAGGAGTTGTCTAAAGTTTGTGAAGAAATGGAGAGGGGTCAACTGTTCGATTCGTCATACGATGATGAGTTGTATCATCACTGTGCGATGGTTGAAACACAGTTTAAGTATGTAAAATAAACATTCATTTCGATCATAATTTACATATTGTCTTATACAGTTTTTAATAAATTTAAACATTTTAGCAGTCAACCACTACAACTTGGAAGAGGAACGAAGCGAACGTGCAGCAA